AGCACAGTCATTCCTCTGGTATCCGGGAAGCTTGCCAGGCAGCAAACGCCACAGATGCCATGGGAAGAGCAGGGTCCACAAGGCAGCATCTCGCAGAGAAACCGCAGCCCCCGCCGCGGGCAGGCATGACGTCGTCTCCCTCGGGGCAGCAACAGATCCACCAAGGCTGAGATGCAATTTGCTCAAGAACAAACCATAAATGTGGACAAGGAACCATCTGCTGTCTGCCTACCACCAAGTGCCATTAAAAACAACTCACCTAAGAAAGTACTGAGCCGGTGAGTGAGCAAACACATTCTAGAGAAGGGCGGTTGCAGGCGCTGTTTCAATGCAAGCTTGTGAGAGAATTCTAAATGGCAGCTCAGGCTGGGGGGGCCGCCAGGCCCGCGGGCAACCTTCGCTGCCGTGTATATTTGGAGACATCTTCCCTTTGAATCATCTCCCAAACACGAGTCCTCACACAGAAGACAGCAATGAGCTAATGCTTAGGCGGTAAGCACGTGCCAACACGTGAGAAAGAACCCCGACACGTGTTCAGCATGAAGAGAGTCGTCCTTGTGGTTCTGTCTGTATGTTCTTTCTATGTGCAGGCTGTTGGCAACATGGTCTTTGTATAAGAGCTGTTGATGTGAGTGAAAAAAATCTCTGCCCTTTAGAATCACTTCTATAACTGTAAATATAATTAATATTCACAGTGTGTCATTTTCTATTCATTTTTCTGAGCAAAAAAAGGCCTGCCTTTTTCTCCACAGAAATTATTAGTGATTTTTAAAAATGCCTTATAGCTTAAATTTAGATTAATCCATACTGTAACTGGTAATGCTAAATATGCTATTACTTACTATACCCTCGAAATCCTTACCACTTTTGACAAAGACATAGGTTTCTCAGTAACTCACGTGAAAACCAATTAGCACACCACTGACCACGTGACTGATAGCAGTGAATACAGACATTAACGAGAGTATTTTAAAATGGCAACTTCATAGACACCTAGCTAAATAGAAGTTCTGGATAAAGGAATGGTGGCTGATAAACTCACCACCAAAAGGTCAGTCTGCTTTGAATGTCTAATAACATCCTCCAACGATAACAGTCCCTAGACTGCCCTCCACTGCCAAAGCATGTCACGTGCTTGCTACGTGCGCTAACGCGTTAGTCACTGAACCCCCCACGTGAGATGCGTCACAGAGGGGGACGCTGCCCTGAGCGGTATCCTGCACCCCCCGTCCCCAGGCGGGCCCACCGCGGCCCACACCCAGCCCCGCGCTACGCTGACTCCACCGCCTACAATCTGAGGAAAACTGGTCCTGAAACTGACACCCACTCAGAACAGTTCCAAAATCTAGTGCGAAGCGCGGCCGGTGTGGCTCAGTGATGGAGCGTCTACCTATGAACCAGAAGGTCACGGTTCGATTCCCAGGCAGCGCACATGTCCGGGCTGCGGGCTCCATCCCTGGGTCCCCAGTGTGGGGCGCGCCGGAGGCCGCCGTTCAGTGATTCTCATCACTGATGTTCCTATTCCTCCCTCTCCCTTCCTCTCGGATCAATGGAAATACATTTAAGGCTAGTCTTAAACATGTACGGATTAGTAAGTTTTCTCAGGGAGAGCTAGTCAGCCTCACTCCTGACCCATCCAAAGACAGTGACCACAACGACCTCACGGTGCCCGCCACACACGACCGTCAGTCCTGCAGACACAGGCTTGGTCTCGCCTGTGCCAGGCCACACGTGGACTGGGGAACGGCGCCGACGCCCCGGGTCAGCGGGTCAGCGGGGCGGGGACGGCAGGGAAGTGTCATTCCCAGGCAGCCCGAGCTGCGCCTGCGTCCTGGTGGGAGGCAGGAGGCGGGCATGTCGCCTGGGGGACGATCCTTCGGCCAGAGGCTCCCGTTTAGGGGATTGACACTGACCCAGGAGTGCTGGGGTACAACCCCAGCAGGTCCAGGGGTCCCCAAAGGTGTGGACGGAGTCGGCGAAGAAGGAATGACACGGAGACAGCGTTCAGTTGATCAGCAGC